CAAGGAGTGTATCTATTTGAGGTAAATGTTCAACTCATATACCTACCTGTCTTTTGTTTGGCTGGAAGCCACAGGTGTGGGTTCAATTCCAGACTTGAAGGGCAGCTAGGGGCCATAGTCTCAGTGGTTCTACCAGGCTCTATCAGACCAGCAAACCTGTCCCCCCCCTTTTTTTCCCAAGTGATTTTGAGTTTTGTTCCACATTGTTCTCCCTCTCTATCCAGGATCTCCTACATAGATCCCCCTCCAAGTAGTTGACAGTGGTAGCCAGGCACTATCTAGTTCTTCTGGTCTCATGGTCATATAGGCTGAGGATGGCATGGTGTACCAGTTGCTAGGACTAATTGTTTCCATGAATATTTTGTTTTCTTCATTCTTCTTTGCTCTGGATGAAGAGAGTTCCATTGTTGCATCTAGATGGCTGCTTGCAAGCTTTTAAGATCCTAGTTGCTATTTGCCAAAAGTAGGAGGTGGAACAATGTTTTGTGTAGTATGTTATGCCAGTTGAGCTTGATATCCCCTGCGACTATGGTCCTGAGCCCACAGGTTCAACTAATCAATCCCTCTGGGTAGCTGGCCATGGACAATGTTCTGGATGTCATCCCACAATTCTTCTGGGTTTTGGTCATTGTGTTCAATGCATCAAATCTCTTTTTTGAATAATCTCTAAATTCAGGAGGGATATATTCAAGGGCAGATTTTGGCTCTTGTGGACTTGTTTTAATTGTCTTCAATTTGAACTTGTATTTGAGCGGTTGATAGTCTGTTCCACAATCACCTCCTGGACTTGTTTTGGCTGAAGATATTGAGTTTCTCCAATGCCTCTCGCCACAGATGTAGTCAGTCTGATTCCTGTGTACTCCATCTGGCTAAGTCCATGTGTATAGCCACAATTTGTGGTGTTGAAAAAGGGTATTTGCAATGAATAAGTCATTGGTCTTGCAAAATTCTAATGTGATCTCCAGTGTTATTTTTATCACCAAGTCCAAATTTTCCAACTACTGGTGATTCCTCTTGGTTTTTGGCTTTTGCATTCCAGTCAGCTGTGATAATTAACACATCTTAATTGCACAGTTGGTCAATTTCAGACTGCAGATGTTGATAAAAATCTTCAATTTCCTCATCTTTGGCTTTGGTGGTTGGTCTGTAAATTCGAATAATAATAGTATTAATGGGTCTTCTTTGTAGGTATATGGATATTATCTTATCACTGACAGCATTGTACATCAGGACAGATCTTGAAACATCCTTTGTGATGATGAATGCCACACCATTCCTCTTCAAATTGTCATTCCTGGCATAATAGATCATATGGTTGTCTGATTCAAAATGGCCCAAACCGGTCCATTTCGGCTCACTAATCCCTAGGATATAAATCTTTGTCCGTTCCATTTCATTTTTGACAACTCCCAATTTTTCTAGGTTCATACTTCATACATTCTGTGTTCTGATTACTAATGGACTTTTGCAGCTGTTTTTCCTCAATTTGAGTTGTGCCACATCAGCACATGGAGGTCCCTAAAGATTTACTTTATCCATATCATTAAGATTGGTTCTACTCTGATGAGGCAGCTCTTTCTCAGTCCTATTTTGAGTGCCTTCTGACCCAAGGGGCTTGTCTTCCTGCACTGTTTTGTACAATGTTTCCAGGTTATTCATAAAGTTGCCTAGTAATGTATCAGACAATGTTTCTCTGCTATTCATAAAGTTTTCCCTGGACAATTTTTGAGAAGTGGATGCCCTCTTTCTTCTTCCTAGTCTGTCTCAATCTGTAACTTCATTGAAACCTGTGCACCATGTGCAACCCTGCTGGCATTTGAAACACCCATGGCACAGCCTGAAGCCTCACAGCAGCATGCAAGTCCCACAGGATGACAAACTGACAGAAATGTTTGTCTCCTTTAGCTGTTGGAAACCTCTCTGCCCTCCCCTTACCTAATTCCTACCTGGATCCTGCCATTT